AAGTAAACTAACGGTCCTGAATTTTCTCTCTCAAAATTTATATTTTACTCTTTGAACTTGAGAATGAATTATAATAGCTACACCTAATTTATGAACTTATTTATTAATGAATTACAATACCGTTTTGAATAACAAATTGTTAAATTATTTTCGAATATGATAATTATTTATGATCGTATATTGCGTATTTAAATCTAATTTAGGGTCTAAAGCATGGAAGATTAACGGGATAACAAATGAACATCATCTTGATCAGTCGTGACGACGTCAAATCCAACTATAAGAGAAAATAAATGACAAATGATTAAAAAAGGTGTCAAAATGCAAATAAAATGTGTGTTATAAAAGTAGAGAAATTTGTGTCATAAAGATAGAGTTATTAAAAACAAAGAAAAAATAAAGATACATGATAAAAAGAAGATGTTAACAACGTTAACTAATATTAAAATTAATATCACTGTCTGCTAATAAAAAATTAATGTCGTCGCATGCTAATAAAAGAAAAAAAAAATCAAGGTAGAGAAAATAAGAAAGCCCTGGTATAGGAATAAAATTTCCAATGTTGATAGTTGACCATGACTTCATAATTTTGTTTTTTATAATTAATTAAAACTATGTCAGGGTGATATGCATTACAATATTATGCGGTCCAAAAAAATAACATTAATAAATATATCGACAACATTTGCAAGAAAAAGGAAAAAATAGACATTGGTAAATAAATTATTTAAATTACATTTAACCGTAAAAAATCAGAACATTTTTATAATCAATTTAAATTTTAAATTAAAAAATTCTTTAAATTTGTTAATAAAAAATATTATAATGGAATATTTATTACAAATAACATAGTTAATATAATTTCCCAATTAATTTAACTTTTTTGGGGTTTTATTCAATATAAAAACAATAATAAAGCATAAATCATCTCTTAGCAAACCTTTGCTTTTGGGTAAAGTGCACCGTCATTAATTTATATGAAAATGATTTTTGATCCTTAAACTTTCAAATATTACATAATAATCATTTAATTTATCGAATTATTATAAAATAATCATTAAACTTATCAAATTATTACAAAATAATTATTAAATTTATTACTATTTATAACATCGCATGGATCATTTAGTAACAGTTGGATAAGTTTAGTAGCTATTTTTGCAACATCCAATCTTACAATGACCACAGAAAGATCATTATAATATAGTTGAGTGATCTCTAAGTGTATTCTATCCTTGATTTCCCCCTGTAAATACCTCTAATTATATGGGCTGTATGGTGATCGAAGGGGCGGTAGTTGTTCAGCTGTAGCAACATGGGATCATCATCATCATACACAAAAGATGGTTTAAGCACCTTAGACCATTCAACAATTTATGTCCAGGAGCTTGTAAAAGGAGGGCCATCAATCCCAATTCCTCAGCAATTCATACGTTTAAATCAAGAACCACCTCCTTCCTTCTCTGTCACCATTCAACCCCTGCCATTGACATGTCTCGTTTGCTTTCCCAAGATGACCACTGCCATAACCTTGAGCTCCACAAACTGCACTCTACTTGCCAAGATTGGGGTATCTTCCAGGTTCTCCATTTTAAATAATGGTTCGAATTCGATCGTTATTTTTACGATTTCGGAATCTTGATTGTTATGTATGTTTGAGAAGAATTAATGGATTTTTGCAGCTGGTGAACCATGGGGTCAGCTCAACGCTGCTGGAGAAACTGAATCATGAGGTTGAGGAATTCTACAGGCTTCCTTTGGAAGAGAAGCTGAGATACAGAATAAGCGAAGGTGAGTTGGAAGAGTATGCAACCAAGAGCAGAGGAGATGGCAAGTTTGATTGGGTCGACACTTTAATATAGTCACTAACCCTGTCCTTAAACGCAAGCCTCATCTCTTCCCACAGACACTTTAATATCGATTTGCGCAGGAGTACGATGGAGTGTTACTTGTCGGAACTCCAGAAGCTTGCCGGGAAGCTGATATGTTTGATGGGGAAATCATTGAAGATAGATGAAAAGGAGATGACGGAGAATTTCGATGACGGGTTGCAAGCGGTGAGGATGGCGAATTATCCTCCGTGTCCACAACCGGAGCTGGTGATGGCCCTCACTCCTCACTCCTCACTCCTCACTCATTCCTCTGTTTGGTTTACTGGGAATGTCATTTCCGGTAATCTTACATTATCAATAGTAGATATTTTTAGGTATATTACAATGTTATTGCCTCCATTTACTTAGGTATTGTTGGATTACCGGCGTTTTGGACTAAAATGTCCTTAATTTTTTTTTCTTTCAAAAATATTATTATTCTATCATTGAATAATAAAAATTCTACGAAAGATAAATTATAAATTTATCTTTAAACTATTTTAGATTTATGAAAAAAGTCTATAATTAAACTTTTATATGAAATTCAGGGGTTAAAATAAAATTTTACCCTTTCATTAAATCTTTTTATATTTTCAATTTTGTAAAAAAAATTATATGAATTTTATGAATTTAAATTTTTTAAAGAAAATATATAAATATTTTCCAACTTGTTAAAAAAACAAATATATAATAAGAACAATTTGGTCAAATATACATTTTAATAATCTTTTATTCCTTTAACCAAACACGCAACAACAACAACAACAACAAAACCCAATTCCCATATGTATGGGGTAAGGGGGAGGTAGGGTAGTAGGCTACCCCCAACGCCAGGTTGAGAGTAGCTTCCGTGGAAGACCTCTGGCAGTCAGAAAATTAAAAATTTAGATAAAATGCAATGCATGTATAAATAAATACATAAATACATAAATACATAGCTAAACAGTATTCATATGCAGTCATTAAAATCATATGTGCGTCTGTAACGGGAATTAATCCCTGCATAATAATCCCTGCGAAAGAATCTCTGCATATAGACAGAAACATAAGATCCGACTAAATTAAAAAAGAGGAAACATGAAGAGAATGATACACAGAAGTCAACGTTAGCAAGCCCAGTTCTAATCCTTCATAAATACCAATAACAGAAACGTATAAAAAGTATAAGTCATGGAAAATACTACAAAGACATTAAAAGAAGACAGAGATGATACACCCTATAGATGTGACCCACACTACTCGACTACCCTAGTCTTTAGCCTCCATATTTTTCTATCAGAGGTCATGTCTTCGGTAATGGCTAAATCCCTCAAATCAGATCTTAAGCAGTCTTCCCACTTTCGCCTTGGTCGTCCTTTCCTTCTGGCACCGTCGACTGTAATCGACTCTACCCTCCTTACCGCATCCGACGGTAGTCGCCTAAGGACATGCCCAAACCACCGTAGTCTTCCCTCCCTCAATTTTTCGGAAACAGACACCACCCCCAAGGACATCCTAATAGCAGAGTTTGTCGTCATATCCCTCAGAGTCCTACCACATGTCCATCGAAGCATTCTCATTTCTGCGGCCTCAAGCCTCCTTACGTGATCCTTCTTGGTTGCCCAACATTCTGATCCATACAACAGCGCTGGTCTTATTGCCATTCTATAAAATTTTCCCTTAAGTTTTAGAGGGACCTTCTTGTCACACAGAACTCCAGTAGCGGCCCTCCACTTTAGCCATCCCGCCTTTATACGGTGTAACGTCATCATCTACACCCCCATCTTTATGTATCATAGACCCTAGGTACTTGAAACAATCCTTTGAGGGGAGAACGTGTCCTTCTATGCATACTTCTACATCTTCATCGTTTTGGTTCCCATTGAAGTTTGAACATAAATACTCTGTCTTTTCAATATTGATCCTTAAACCTTTTTCTTCCAAAGCAGTCTTCCAGGTAGCCAGTTTGCTATTCAAATCAGATTTTGTTTCAGCAACTAAGACAATGTCGTCAGCGAAAAGCATACACCATGGTACACCGTCTGGTGTCGCACAATAGATGTCGTCCATAATCAAGGCGAAGATGTAAGGGCTAAGAGCCGACCCCTGGTGGAGTCCGATTTCCACCGGGAATGCCTCGGTGTCGCCAACTGTAGTCCTGACGTAAGTAGTAGATCTACAGTACATATCACGAATCGCCCGGATATAAGCAGTTGGGATCCGTCTCGTTTCCAAAGTCTTCCAGATCGTATCGCGGGGAACACTATCATAAGCCTTCTCAAGGTCAATGAACACGGTAATCTTATATTCATGCTAAACCAACCAAACACAAAATACAACATTTCCAGTAATCATATTCCCTGTTAATCTTTTATTCTCACTGATAATCTTACATTTCGTGAACCAAATGCACCATTAGAACTTAACTTTTTGATCTAATAGTAATTTAAAATTTTATAAATTTAAACATTTAGATAATGTAAATTTTAGGTTTTTTTTACTTTTAAATTTAAATATGTAATAATTGCTTATATTATTAAAATAAATAAATTTATTTCTTTAAAAAATTGATATTAATCTCATCCTTGAACAAACTAATCCCATATAAGACATGGAAAAAAGTTAATGATACTTATGAACTTGAAGGTGGGTAAGTTGTAGCATCATTTATGGTGAATGAAACTGTCGTACACAGCTCACTTATTTTTTTTTTTTTTGCAGGTAATGAATAGGCTGTTTTCTCTATTCTTTTTTCTGATTGTTGTTATTTAACCGAAAATAAAATATTTAATTATTTTTATTTTTTTAATTAATTATTTGTATTTGATTTATTGATCGATTAGATCTTGCTTAAGATTCGAACTCCTGACCTTACTTAAGAGACCTAGTGTCTCATCCCACTAGACCAATTGATTATTGGTACTTTTAATTTCTCTTTGATTACTATGATAACATTGATTATAATAGTTGATCTATTTGATAAAACCCGAAATCTGTAAATAAGTAAAAATGGTAAAAAAAATAAAAATAAAGGGAAGGTAAATGGTGAAAAATTATAAAACAAAACAAAATAAAGTAATTAAAGAGAAATAATAGTTTGGGGTCAATTTTGGAATAAAAATATTTCAAATTATATCCTCTTAATTTTTCATTTAATACTGTGTACGATCTATAATTGCTAGGGAGTATTTTGTTTTCTTCCCGTAGGTGGCCTCTCTTTCCCAAGTCCCAGCAGCAGCAGGTACAATCCCCAAGCCCTCCTCTTCTCTGGCTTGTTTTTTACTTAAAATTATTTTCTGTTTTTATGTTATTTTTCTTCAGAGATGAAAGCAAAGCCTTGTTGTTGGAATTTAGTTCTTGTAATTTTGCTATATTATCCGTTGCCTTCTTTGCGTCTTTTGCTTGGTTTTGTTAGAGAACTTGTGATGTTAAAGCGTAAATTCTTTTTTCTGAACTGTTGTAGTAGCTGTAGATTATCATGAAGATTGGGTCATAGTTTTTATATTTTGCTATGTTATCTGTTTCCGTCTTTGTGTCTTTTGCTTGGTTTTGATAGAGAAATTAACCTTGTGGTTTCCCTTATCTTATTTCAACAACCTTTGCAGATGATTTAGCATAAATGATGAAACGGGTTTGTTTGAAATCGGACGGTAGGAATCGGCGGGAAGCCGCCGCTAGCGGTGGGCGGTGTTGGTAAGAAGCAGGGATGTGAGTGTGGAACAAGGGTTGGATTATGTTGCAACTTGGAACTCTTCCATGCTTCTGTCTGATGATCTAAACCAGGCCATCTCTGCTTACACACACAAAAGGAAACCTGCCTATGCTAAGCTTTGAATTCTACATTTTATTGTTAATAATAAGAATGTCTATCATGAATAATGAATAGAAGGAGGCGAACCCTAAGGCCAGTTGAAAATAATGTAATAATTCGGGTCTTTAAATTGAAGTTTAATCAACTTATATATGTGAAATCTCTTTAAGAGATGATATCGTTTTTAATTTAATAGTATTTCAGTTGTTTTTAATTTTATATATATATATATATATATTAACTTTTCTCTTAAATTTATGTTTTTTATTTAAGTTTTCGAGAGATTAATAAAATAACTATTGTACTTTTATAAAATTATTATTAGTTATATAATTTTTTTTCTAATTCATTAACAATATATTTATTATTTGAACTCCATAAATAAAATCATGGAATCTTCAATTATTATTATTTTTTTGTTTCTTGAAACACAAAAATTATATTTAATAAAAAAATGTTTGGGATCTCCACTCTTTGTGGCATGTTTTTAGGATGAAGTTTTTTTTTCGACGATAGCGGATGAATGATCGACGTTGACTATTTCAAGGTATGAGCATTATTTTGCGGGATTTTTTTTGACAAAAAGTATAGTGAGTTTTTTTTTATAGATCGAGGCGATTATAATGTATCATTTATTTAAAAAAATTATTACTTTTATTTAATAATTAATATTCAGATTTTTTATAGATGTTTTACTCGAACTAAGATAATTAGAGATAATAATTATCTTTTTAATCAATTGGATGATTTGATTTCTACACTGTTTAATATCCAATATTAGTGGGATATTGTTGGAAAAAAATGGTGAATTACACTTATAGATTTAATATTTATATTAAATTTAGAGTTTTTTTTGAAATATTACAAAATTAAAATATATTATTTAATTTAAATATTATTATGATAAGTACTCTTTGAATGTATCAATTTAAAAAGACATGTGTTATCTTTTTAACTTTGAATATTAAAGATAATTATGTACTTTTGTATATTTTCAATTAAAAATAATATTTATTTAATTTTAATAATAAAAGGGGTATATATCTATTTAATATTTTAAATTTTAAATATATTATTATCTGTTTAAATTTAGATATTAAAAGATATCTTGGTGGAGTAAAACTCTTAGGTTCAATATTTTAAATTTAAAAGATATTATTATTTGTTTAAATTTAGATATTAAAAGAGATTTAGTTGGAGTAAAGCTCTCTCGAAATTCCCCTATAAATACTGAGCAAATCTCTCAGGTTTTTCACATCTTAGAATTCAAGAATTTTTTTTCTCTTGAAAAATATTTTCTATCATTCTCAGAAAATATTCTTTTTTTCCTTTAGTTTTTTTCGATGATAGTCGAAGGCAAGAAAAGTTTGTGATATCTACTGTTGTGCTATTGTAGTTGATCATCAAGTTGTTGTATCCTGGGAGACATATGGCCAAAAGATCTCGAGTACGAAACAGATGACCAAAAGATCTCGAGCACCAATGAATGGCCGAAAATTTATCTTAAGGAAATTGTGTAGCAATAGACCTCAACTGATTCCGATCACAAGATCAAATACAAAAAAAGATTATTTTATTTCCTTTATTATTCTCTTTTATTTTTAAAGTATTCGACTTCTTCTTTTTATTTTTTCTCAGGTTCCAATTTAGTCTTGGATTATTAACTGCAGATAACAATCTTAAGACAAATTCTCATATACATTTCTTGATTCGAGATAATTCGAAATTGTGGGAAAATGGGATAGTAAACAATTTGTTTTGGGATTTGTCCTACTATCTTAACAGGTTTACTAGAATCTCAAGTGGACAAATCTGTGTAACAAAAAATTTCGTGAAAGTAACTACGATTAATGATTTTTTTTCTTCAGAATATTGATTTTGTTCGATAAAAAATCTAAAATAAACGATAATTAATTTTCTGTTTATTAGAATTATTTCTAATTTCAGTTCCGTTTATTTTATAGAAAATGGAGATAGTAGACTGTATTGGTTTACCTAACATGGATGCTAAGATAGTCGCACCAGCTCATAATCTAAATTTGAATGTGAGTCAATCGGTAGTGGTAATTGTCATCACCGTTTTTCGAATGAAACGTCGAAAAAATAGATGTACAACACGACTTTCGAGGAATGTCGTATTTAAAAAAAATTGAATTAATTCACAAAAGATTTAAGTCGTCATCGATCTTTTGGTTAGGTAGGTCGAATACCCAGAAAACATCTTTTAAATAAATTTTAGAAAATCATTTAAAGAAGAAAATTGATTTGCGTTAAACTAGAAATTCATTTTTAAGGATTCGGGAGTCGGTTATGCGTGGGAAAGGATAAGCACCCCACAATACCCAAGAGTAAATTTCAGGAAGATATTCAAAGGGTACCGATACCTTAAGGATGGTATCGATACCCCCTTGAAATGAAAAATTATCGAATGTAATTTGGGTATCGATACCTAGGCAGTGTACCGATACCTCAGTTAAGGGATGTATTGATACCCTATAGGGGGTATCGATACCTACTTTAAATAGAAAATGAATTTCGGCTTTCTTTTAGTTTAATAAATGAAGGATTAAAGTATGCTATTTATGTATAAATGTATGATTATGTAGACATCGAGCCTAACCAAGTTTCAGAACGACTAAAAGGTTAGAATTAATCAAGAAGAAAAAGTAAGCCATAGGAGTAATTGATAGCAAGTGAGGCACAGGTGAGTGCATACTAGTTGAAAATGATGTGTATGGAAATAAGACTCGCGATGAGTCTAATTCCAATATTTGATTGCATAAATATATGAATGTTAGTATATATGTTTGATATGACTTTTATGTATGCATGAATACATGTATAGATTCATAGATGTTATATGTTATTTGGTGTGATAAGGATATATAAATAGTTATATGATAACAATGTATAAATTATATGAATTAAGTCTAAGTGATTAAATGAAAAATGAGAATAAAATATAAGTTAAGAGATATTGACATAAATTAGTACACAAATGTGTCAAATAAGCTATATAGAAAAGTTGATATGTTTAAGTGGATTATGAGACTTTACCAGCATATTATATGATATACTGGATAAGAAACTAGGAGTTTATATACTATATGATCTGAACATAAGAGGTTATGTGGAATGAGCTATGTGACTATATGAACATATGAAAATATGACTAAGAGTCATGTGATATGAGATATATGATGATGAAAAATGAGATTCCATAAAAGTATTACATGATATGTGATAAAAAAAGCCATGAGCTTATATGAATATGTGATATGAATGTGTATATGTGAAATGACATAAGTGATAATGCCCATGTTATGTGTTATGAGTGTTAAAGGTATATTTGGCATGCCAAGAGTCGAGGGTTACCTATGTCTTTTGAGACATATAGATAGGATTACCTATGTCTGTAACATCCCAATAACTGGGTCAGTGACTAAAATGTAAAATTTGGAAACTTGGTTCTCAATTTTGAAATAAATAAAACGTTTAGAGATCTAATTATAATTTCTTTGGGTAGGACTGATTGGAAAATAAGGAAAGAATGAAGGGAAAAATGGTCATTTGACAAGAAAGATTTGTATTTTTCTTTTGGGGACTATAAAACACGTGTCAATTGAAATGAAAAAGGAAAAAAGAAGAGTTTGGAGATGGGGTGGAGCAATATTCTTCTCTTTCCGTGTCTTCATGTTTGAGGTGAGTTGGATTCAATTTGCTTGGTTCTTTAATATTATGGTTTCTTTTTATTCTTGAGTGATAAGAAAGAGTAAGGGAAGATTTAAGGTGGCTTAAAACTCAAGGATGAACAAGTTATAAGAGATTTAGTAAAATGAGTTTTTGAGTAAATTATTGAAATATAAGGAGTAAATGAATTTAGAAGTTGAATTTGACTTGTCAATGGTCTAATTAAGAAGTTAGAAGTGATAGAATTGAATTTAGAACATGTTGAAAATTGAGTTTAATTCTTGAATTCCATGTGGTGGATAGGATTTTGAAGTTTAAGATGTGATAAATGAGTATTAATGGGTTTAAGCATGTGTATGTGAGCTAAGAATATGATAGGGGATGAAACATGAAGTGTTTAAGTGGATTTGGACTGATTTTTGGGCTTAAAAGTGATTTCTTGGCAAGGGGGTATTGGTACCCATTCATCAGGTACCGATACCTCAAGAGTAAAAATTCAGGAAAACATTTAAAGTGTACCGATACCTTAAGGGTGGTATTGATACCCCTTGAAACGAAAAAAATTATAGAATGTAATTTGGGTATCGATACCTAGGCAGTGTACCGATACCTCAGCGAAGGGATGTACCGATACCCTATAGAGGTATCAATACCCTTGCAAGAGAAAATTGAGATTTACTCTTTCTTATAGCTTAAGAAATCAAGGATCGAATCATAGTATTTGGAATGCTGATATGTATACATGATTGTGTAGATATCGATCGAGAGCAACGTCCGTACAAGTTTACAATTAATAGTCATCAAGAAGAGATAAGGGAGTAGTATTGACTAGTGAGGCCAGGTGAGTGCACATTATTTAGTATATGATGTTTAATGGGAAATAAGACTTGCGACAAGTCTAATTGCAATAGTTAAATGCATGAATTCATAGATTGAAGTATGTGTTTGCGATAATTTATATGTGTGCATGAATATATGTGTTGACAGGTTATTATGTATATTACATGATTTGTATAAGTACATGTTAGTGTGATAAGTTATGTGAAATAGTACAAATGATCTATATGATTATATAATGTTGAATTATGTTTCGACATAACAAATTTAAAGGCAAAATGTTTTTGGACTTAAATTGAATTTATTCAAAGTTTTAAAAAAGTTTCAAAAATAATTCAAAGTCCATTTAATTTGAAATTGAGCACAAAAATGTTTTTATGAATAGTAATTTACTGTATAAATAGTCATGATGCTGTTTAAACAGTACCGATGTTGTTTAAACAGTATCGATACTGTTTGAATAATAATGAACAGTACCCGATGCTCAAAATTCCAGAATACTACAGGGGTACCGATACCGTTACTGTTCATACAACCCAACGGTCATAAAATTCAAATATTATGAATGGTATCGATACTCATTGATGGGGTACCGATACTACATGTCCTGGGCAGCCTATTTGAGTAGAAAAATCATCCCCAAACGGCTCCAAAACATCCCCAACG